ATGTTCGCTTGTCTGAATTTTGGAGGAATCTGGATGGTTTGAAGGAATGCTGGAGGAATTTGTGAGAGAAAAACACTGTTTCGGATAAAAAAATAAACAGATCAAGCCGGGTTTAAGGACACACGAACGGGGCCTATATGTTGCCGCTTGTGTTTCCTTATTATATGCTAAACACTGAGTGGTCGGTCACTTTCTGTTTAGCGATTAAAACTGTTTAACTTAGATGGTCTAAGCGGTTTTTATATTGTTAATTTGCATACAAACATAATAGTGCTATACTTAGATACTTATAGATTACATAAGGACAACCGATATAGATCGTAGATAGGGGTAGGGACCGTGCTTACACATTGTCCTTTGGGAGACTTGGGCTGGTCGTCGAAGCCCACGAGACTACTCCAACCCGCCACAAGAAGCACATGCATCATGCTAGATGGACCATAGATGACATGCGACAGCTGGCTTTATCGTACGTCTGTCTAGCGTGAGTTGCACACGAGCATACATGTGCATGCCGTGCCGAATAATTTGACATGGGTCCAACTGGCCGGCCCACGCGGGAAACCCAGCAGCGGCGACACCAATTTGCACCGAGGCCCTCTTACTTTAACTTAATCCACCCGCAGGACATTGGCACTATTTATGTAAGTCATGGAAATTACATTGAGAACCCTGAAAAAGCGCCTATTCTAATACTCACCCTTCTCTCCCTCCCAAAAGCAAAGCACCATGGCGGGGACGATCCGACAGCGTTGGCGACGAGGCTCGACGCAGGCAGAGCGTGTGCGGGGAGGCGTCGTGGTTGCACTCACCGGTGATGACCGCCGAAGTGCAGGCTGTGCGCTCGGTGGCGGCGGCGTCGTGCGGGTCGCGGCTTGGCGCGATGGCATTCCCGAGCGGCGTGCGGGCGAAGGCCACGGTGAAGAGATGGAGCGTGGTCGTGGCGCTGCCACTGAGACGCCATGGTCGCGGCGCAGAGCGAGGTCAAAGCTAAAGGTGCCGGCTTGGGGTCGGTGGGGTGCGACGAGGACGGGTCAGTGGCAAGGCATGGACCGGCTCGGCGAGTAGACCTGGAGCAGGGCGCGTCGGGGTCGGCGGCACGGGGTGATGGGAAGGACGGGCTCACGGCGATTCATGATGAGACTAATGATATCGGTTCTAGTATATATTACTAATAATATATGCTTTGAAACTATTTAAAGTTAACTGTATGAAAAATGGTAATGACTAATGATATCAAACTTTAATGTTGTTTTGATTTAGCTTCAACCTTATATATTTGTTCGTTTTAAATTATATGTGACACCTCGACAAATAAGATGTACATTTACTTTAGCAGGGAGAGAGTAAGAGCCAGTAGAGTACAATTATTATTGGGGCCACGTTTAGTTCGCTGCCGATTCGGCATTTGCATAGTGTTTGATGTGACGGAGAACACTGTAGCAATTTCGTTTGTATTTGTGAATTATCATCAAATATTGACTAATTAGGTTCAAAAGATTCGTCTCGCAAAGTTTAATCAAACTGTGCAAATAGTTTTTGATTTCATCTACATTTAGTATTTCATGCATATACCGTAAGTTTAACGTGACGGAGAATCTTCTTTTTGCATAGTGCCAAATTTTGGATTTCTGTGGAACTAAGCATGGCCTGAGTTTGTTCCATCAGATATCTAAACTCCCGTTCCTGTCTCACGTCCGCCCGGTCCATTGCCACGTCGATGCGTCCTGTGTGGACCCACCACACACCATCGATCCCGCCCATTGCTGCGTCGATACGTGTGCGTGCTTCCTGGACCCACTACCCGTCTTGTCTTGTGCGTGCGCCGACGTGGTTTTGGCATCCGTCTTGTCTTCCGTCGACTGATCGATTCTCCTTCTCCATCCCCGTCGTCGTCGTGCCATCGCGGACATCTCCTCGCTCCGTCGCTCACAGACACCGCTATCCTCCTCAACACCCCACTGGCCACGTGCTTTTGACCTGTTCAGCTGGTTTTTTTGGTCAGCGCTGCCATTGAAAAACACTGTTGTTACAGTGTTTGTTTAGCCGGCCGCAACATCTATCCCTAGCAGCTAGCTGGCTCTTTAGTGCGGACTACTCCAGTTTTCCTTGCGAATGCTGTGCCGAATCTATCTATCTTTTTTTTTTACTGTTATTGATCCATATCTTGTGATTAGTTGAATGGCCTAGTAGAATACGATCAATCAATCTACAACTAGTGTAGATGATGATGACATACAACTACTAGCTTCATCGTAGTCGTACGACGTCTGCCTAACCGCCTACAGTGCACTGTGCATATAGTGAGTTAGGGGACGTTTGGTATGGCTCCATGAGCGGCTCCGGGAGCTGTTTTTTCATGTTGACAGTTTCACGCCTGGATCCCCGCAAATCGCGCTGACTGGAGCCATTCGGAGAAGATGGAGCCCAAAAAACTAGCTTCGCCTGCTCCGGCCTTCGTCCATGTGGGGCCAGTCCCGAAATGCCCCTCCGTGTTGATGACGTCGGGCGGCGAGGCGGAGCGCAGGAGCGGGCCGCGACGGCGAGGGAAACGCGGGCACACCAGCGACGGTGAGGCGAACCGCGGCCACGACTGCGACGACGAGGCGGGTCGCAGGACCGGCATCGACGGCGAGGCAAACCGCAGGCGCAGCCGCTACCGCGAGGCGGGCCGTCACGGCGGCCTGAGCGCGGCTGCGAGCATCCTCCGGGGGCGCTGGGCGAGGATGCGAGAGACGATGGAGGCAGATAGGGAAGAAGATGCGTGCGTGGTTGTCTCGGTGAAGAAGATAACGAGAGAGAAGATGGTGTGTCGGTGCCTGATGGGAAATAAATAACAGAGAGAAGATTATAAAAGTCGAAGAAACCCATGCGGTGGAGATAAGAGAGAAAAAAAGAAATAAGGAAAAAGAAAAAAGAATAGGAGAGCATTATAGACATTTCACTCTCCTTATCTACTAGGACAAGCTATTTTATCCGGCGCCTTACCAAAACAGCAACAACTCCATGTCTAAAACTACTTCTTTAGAGAAGTCAGAGCTGGAACTATTTTTTTTAGCTGGAACCCACCAACATGCCCTTAATTAGGCGGAATCGGCCTCCCTACATATGCCCAGATCTTGCTGCCGGCTACAATGTTTGACTGTCTGTCCATGACGGTGGCAGTGGCACAAGCTACGAGGATAACAAGGGGAGTTATGTGGGTGAATATGATAATGGATTAAGTCCATTTTTACCCCCTCAACTATTATGTTGGTCTAATTTTAACCATCAACTATAAAACCGTCTAGTACCGGTACTCTAACTGTCAAAACCGTTCACTTTTAGCACCTGACGCGGAGCCAAGGCTGATTTGACCTACGTTGAGCGGTTTTAACACGCAACCTCCATCAAAGTGACATGTGGAGCCCACGCGTCATCGACTCAACCCCACCCTCTCCGATGACCACAACGCGGCCGTCCGGGATGGCAGGCACGGTCGCCGCGGTGCGCGCGTCCTCGGGCACCTGCGCCACCGGTCGCCACGCCGACGCCGCTCCCACGACATCGTCGCGCGCCACGAGGTGCCCATCGCGACTCATCATGTACATGCGCTTAGACGACCCTGGCCCTGGCGCGGCACAGCAGGTCCTCGGGCACACGCTGATGAGGACATCGCCATGCTGGACACACCGACGCCATGGTCTTCCCCAAGTTGCAATTCGTTCCCAACTCAGCTGCCACGTCGCCCTCGGATTCAGCAGACACGTCGTCACTGTTTCGGTCATAACTTTCTCATACGACATCGAAACGGGCCGTTCTTGGATGCGTTGGAAAGGGGACGACGACGCCGTCGTTTTGGATCTGGTCCTAGCTCCAGAAGGTCCGTGTATCATTCTGTGTGACCACGGCAAGGTGCTGCGTCACCTATTTGGGCCAACTTGGCCATGTATCGTGTCGGGCCTTAAGCCCAAGTTGTGGGCGCCCAATCCCTGGCCGTCCCCAACCCTAGGTCGAGTCTTAGACTATAAACACAGCCGTCGTCGCTGCTACACAATTGGGTTTTGTTTAGAGTTTAGTTTTCCATCGAGAAACTGAATCGTTCATTGTAACTGTGGTGACAAATCCTTTTACATTGATCCAGGGCCCCCGTTCTTAATCTCCTCCACTGTGTCAATTAGTCCTTTGGAACCGAGTTCTAGAACCCTCTATTGATATTCGCGTCATTCATATTTGCAATATCAGATTGCGTGTTTTACCTTCTTGCTTGTGCTATTCGATTCGCTTGCAGGAAAAGCCTTCTTGGCGAGGTCAATCAAGTTGTGCTTGGTTGATAACCAACGGAGCAGTGGTGTAACGGTTGCAGGGTTCGAATCGCGTCTGATTTGAAGCCGGATCGCCAATGTCGAGATCTCCACAAATCGAACTTACCGGCTACCTCTCGGAAGATCGGGCACACGCCGTCCTCGGTCATCAGGTCGATGGGCGCCCAGGTGGACGTCGCCTGGTAGAAGCACTCCGCGGAGCCAACGAACCGGCCCTGCGCCTGCGTTAGGTACCCGCCGACGACAAGGAACCTGCCGCCTCCCCCGGCGACGACGTAGAGCCCGCGCGGCTCGTCGCGCTCCTCTGCCATGTCCGGGAGCTGCGCCCACACGTTGGCGTCCGGGTCATAGGCGAGCGCCGATCGCAAGGCGTTCTTCTCGTCATCGTGGCCGCTGGCCACGTACACAGCGCCGCCAACGGCCACACAGGCGAAGAAGGACCGGTGCGGGCCCGGTGGCCACCTGGCAGAAGAGGGGGAGGCTCTTGCTTGGCCACGGCAGGGGCCACAGCGGCGTCCACCGTCCCTCCACCGGCTCCAGCAACACCATCCGGTACGAGTTCGCGGGGCCTCCCGAGCCTGCCGCCGTTGAGTGCTTGTCCACTGCCGGACCAGCGTCGTCGTCAGCCGCAGGCACTGCCAGCTGCACCTGGACTAGCGCCTGGACCACATGTGGGACCACCGTGCCATCCCTGCGTCAGGCGCTGGCCTGCGTGTCCGCCACGCTCTGCTTCGCCCCGAGCAGCGCCGACTCGAACGTGCCGTATGGGTCCACGAGTACGAGGAGGCCGTCGAGGACTTGGTCGTCGTCGTCGGCGGCCTCGTTGAGGGCCGCCGTGGCCCGCGGCGTGGCCAGCAGGTCGCCGAACGCGGCCAGGACGGCGTCCAGGAGCGCGAGGCCATGGCCAGAGGAGGAGGCTCTGCTGGCGCCGCACCACGCCCTGAGCGCGGGGACGGTGCCGTGGAGGCGCGCGAGCGCCAGGTGGCACAGCTCGCTCGCGGACCGCGCGTGTGCTGCCGAGGTCAGCGCCGCGGCCGCCTTCCTCATCGGCGTCCAGGAGCGCGAGGCCGTGGCCGTGTGGATGGAGAGGTTGGGATTGAGTCGATGATGCGTGGCCCCACATGTCACTGAGATGGAGGTTGCGTGTCAAAACCGCTCAACGTCGGTCAAAACAACCTTGCCCTTGCCCAGGTGCTAAAAGTGAACGGTTTTGACAGTTGGGGTACCGGTATTAGACGATTTTATAGTTGAGAGTTAAAATTAGACCGACATAATAGTGAAGGGACCAAAAGTGAACTTAATCCATATAATAATGGATATCACTCTTTTGTAGTATTATAGACATAACACTCCACAAAGTTACTATGCGAGATATATAATTATTAGAGCTCGAGCATGACAATCATATCTCCCTGTGAGCTCGTTTCTACGTACTCCTTTTCATGATTATGCAAATAGACGACGGCAAAGAAAATGTACAGAGGACAAGGAAGTACTCCATCGATCCCTAAATATCTGTCATTTACGCTTCTCGAGAAACAACTTTGATTAAATATATATTAAAAAATATTAATATTTATAGTACATAATTAGTATCATTGGAAAGATCTTTAAATCTAGTTTTTTTAATAAATTTATTTGGAGATACAAATATTACACGTATCTTCTATAAATCAAGTCAAACTTATGGCACGCACACCAATAACGATAGATATAAAGAGACGGAGGCAGTACTTCACAAGAGGCATGTGCGGAAGCCAAGCCAAGGTGGAGGCCTAATGCATAACAAGTTAGGTTTTCGGAATACAGGAGAAGACTGCACTAAAATTGTCGCTTAGGTCGCAAAAGGATATGATTCTGTTTTCAACTGATCCCACCTCAAAATTTGGTCGGAGTCAACATGACTAATTAAAACAATTGGTTCTCCATAAATTTTCATGGTGTCACGGCATCGTCTTTTAGGCCATTGGCCGTGTATCGTGTCAGAGTCGATTAGGAATGTGTCAAGGGGTCCATGGACGTCCCTAACACTTTTCCATTAGAAATTATTTGTGGTCCCAAAATTCTTTTTGAAGTTCTCGTATTTTTAAATTCAAAATTGTTGAATCCTTTTGAACGAACTCGGATGAATAAATAATCAAAACTAAAGTTGTAGATTTTCATGAGATATATAACTTTGAAGTTGATATTTTTTACATTTGAAATCATGTATGCTCTCAAAATTGTGTTTGAAGTTCTCATATTTTGAAATTTACTTTTATTAATTGTTCGCACGAACTCAGATGGAGAAATGACCACTATCTAAGTTGTATATCTCGATGAAATCTACAGCTTTCTAGTAGACGATCGCTTCATGTGAAAATCATCTGCGGTCCCAAAATTTTGTTTGAAGTTCTCAAATTTTGAAATTAATTTTTTTTAACGAACTAAGACGAAGAAGTTATCAAAACTAAAGTTGTAGATCTCAGTGAGATAGAATATATTTTTAGAAAAAATGGTACCAGTTTTATATTTTTTTCTAATTTAAAAAGAACTATTTATGAATTCCAGCAATTTACCTATTATTTTATTATTCTCAGAGAATATATGTATACTGAAAACCAACCTTTGAAATCCGGCGAGGGTTGTCTAGTTTAATAGTTGAAGGGCTACACATGTCTGGTTTTGGAGTTTAAAGGCTAAATACTTTAATAAAAAATTGAGGACTAAAAATGGACTTTTCCTATATACTCACTAGACGTCGTCTAAGTTAGGGTTTAAGTTTTGCTTAGATTAATCACTATGTTCATTTATGCTAAAATTTAGTTTATACTAATATTTATGTTTGAAATGTTGCGAGAGAAAAATACCGTTCTTAAAAAGTAACTCAAGCCAATAGGGTGATTCAAACAGTTTTAGCATGCATCGGTCTGTGAACCTCAACTCGTGATCTTGATCATACGACCCTACCCTGCGCTGAGCGGCCACTGCACGTGGGCGAGCCCCAACCCTACCCTGCATAGTGACTGAGCGGATTGCATGCATGTGGGCGAGCAACACCAGCGGCTCACGCTTGCGACCAAATCAGCACATGTACCCTGCACGAAAATCTAAAACACAAAACATTTTATTTAAAATGCTATAACTTTTAAATAGTGTATCCGTTTTTAATTTCGTTTGCACGGTTACGTTCTACATGATGAGGTGAATAAAACTAGACTCTATTTGCCTATGTTTCGAAAAAAATTATTTAGTAGCAATTTATGTGTAAAAATGTCCTAGAGATTTATGAAATAAGACCCGTTCGCTCGTGCTATTCAGCCGGCTTTAATCCATACAAATCAGTCGTGGAACAGTATTTCTCTCTCACAACAAACCAGCCCTGATTTGATACCAGCCGAACAGACCAGCCATACACTTGCTATCATGTAGTACTAAACTTGCTACTCCAAAAATAAACTAAAGTTTTTACATGGTATGCACATCGATTGTTACTATGTGAATATAATAAATTTGTTATATAGTATTTACATTAAGTACTAACCCCTAAAAGACAGTAGCGGACCAAAATAAGACAAGCTACAACCTGAAGTAGCAAATTATTAAAATAAACATGGCATAAGCTGCAATTAGGGGGGCAAGTTATTTTACGGTCCATTAAAAAACAGGAAACATGACTTGTTGCCAACTGAGTGCATTTATTAAAAAATAAGGGTAGTGGCACAAAACAAGACAAATTGTAACCTGGAGGCAAATTATTAGAACAAACATGGCATAAGCTGCCAACTAGAGGGACAAGTTATTATAAACCGACTATATAAGCCCAAAAACATGACTATCTGACAATTGAAGGGATATTTATTAAAAAGATAAGAGTAGTGACCCAAAATAAGACAAGCTATGCCCCTAGGGATAAATTATTAGAAGAAGCATGCCATAAATGCCAATTTAGAGGATAAATTATTATACAACTAATACGTAGGATTTAAAAATGCATTCAAACCTAAAAGAGTGACTGCAAACTAAAATTAAAAAACATTAAAAAAACTTGACTGAAAAATGAAAAAAAAACATTTAACTAAACTAAAAGAAACAGTGAAATTTTGAAATAATGAAACTAAAGTATACACAATGAAAAAAAAAGAAATTGAAATTACCGAAAAATGAAACTGAAAATGACAATAGAAAATGAAAACTAAAGAAAAGAAATGAAAACCAAAATAAATAAAAAATAAAGTGATAAAAAAATGGAAAGAAAACTAAAAACTCAAATAAAACAAAAACTAAATAAATTTAAAAAGAATAAAAAACAAAGGCCGCATGCACCACATGCGATGCAGGCCGAGCAAAGCAGGCTCCGAAGGGCCGCATGGCACACAGGTCAGGCCGCGTGTGGTCGCTCCCTCCACCAGGAGCGCGACCCCACGCGCCTTAAAATTTAGGCTGTTCAAGACATCCGTCCGTCCGAGGCTCTCTTATCTGCACCTACATCCGTTTTCCTTTAGGCATCGTAATTTTTAAAAAAAACGCCGCAGCGCCATGACTTCGCGATCTTGCTCCGCCGCGCCTCCTGCCCGCCTTCCTCTGCGCCGCCACGTCCGGCCACATCCTGCGCTACTCCGCATCCCACGCCATGCCTCCATCCACTTCGCCCGTCGTAGAAAGAGAAGCAGGGGAGGCATGCGCATGTCTAGAGACACGATACTGAAGAAGCACCTGCTGTTCAGGCTCTGGGCAATGGGCCTGGCACGATACTGAAGAAGCACCTGCTATTCAGGCTCTGGGCAATGGGCCTGGCAGGAGTTCTCGGTCCATGTCCGTATCTCAGGCTCTTGATGGACTTAGCCTTGTAAGCGTTGTGTGTGTGCATGTAACGTGAGGGGTATAAGTTGGAGAACATCTCTGGAAGGAGATAGACAATTTGTAAACTCTGAACCCAGTTAATCATTCATCGTTTGAACTACATCATCTTCCTGTGTCCGCCATTCTTTCCCCTTCCTCAAGTCTTTTCCTACCCAGAGCTAACAGTTCTTTTTACCACATCAATTTTATTTTCTGATAGTCCGATTCCTTCTTTTATTTATAAAATCGAATATTTAACTCCTCATATTTAAAAATATTTGTTTTTAAGAAAATTTTACTATAGGACATCGGAGAGAAACGTGGTACATGCTGATGGACACCGTCAACTCCAAAATTTGCCTAATATTATTAGGAAAACGTGTATCTTTAATTTGCCTTAACGCACCGCACATTTTGTTCATTTCTCATATTCAAGAGAGAGGAGGTAGGAAAAAATGTATTTTCTACCCTTGTCATCAAATATCTTTCTTGACCATTTTGATGCTAGAAACTGCATGGCGGAGTCTCTTATTACTAGTGTCAGACACTTTTTTCTGTCAATACAAAACAACTGGTCCCGTTTCATATATTCATTCTTTTTTTTTGCGAATTCATATATTCATTCTTGCAAGCATGGACGACATTTTGATACATTTATTAATGCAAGAACGAGATAGTTTATAGTAGGGAAGAAACACACGTATACACACCCATTATTCGGTAGATGCACTGACATGCATACATGGCATGTCCACGTTATTCATCATATCATATTTTGTTCAAGTTCCGGAGCACGGAAGGAAGATTGGCATCAGCGGCTAGCTTATCAGCCGACATGGGGCGCCTCGGCGACGGTGTCGACGAAGATGCGGACGCGGTCGGGGCGATAATCCGTGGTCACCGGCGAGCCGACGGGCAGCACGACGATGTCCGCGTCGGGCTTGTCCTTGAGGATCGCCTTCTTGGCTTCCTCCACGCTGAGCCCCACCAACTCCGGCCACGATGTCTTGGCGCCGCCGCACTCCGGTGCCGCCGCCGTGGAGCTCATGGTCGTCTCCGGTCGCGAACTGCGAATAGCTAGATCAGCTGATGATGCTGTGGCCTGCGAATTCAATGGAAACAAACTAAAACTACTACTACTATACTATATTATTGCAAAAACAACGTAAGGTATATAGATAGCACACTCACGGTGTGGTAAAGACGATATATATATGGCTTGTTAT